TGTATGAGCATTTTTTATTGTCGGAAAGAATGTTGCTGTCAAAAAGTGCGCACATGATGAATTTGTATGGTGTTAGTATGAATGCGTTTTTAATCTCCTATGTACGCCTTGGGCCCATGCTGTGGGGAAAGGCGGGATAAAATGCTCTTATCATTATTATTATTATTATTATTATTATCATTATTATCATTATTATTATTATTATTATCATCATCATTATTATTATTATTATTATTATTATTATTATTATTATTATTATTATAGCCTAGCGTTTTCTAATTCGTTAGTTTTTCCTCACAAAACAAAACGCTATATGCCATGTAATTTTCGCTCTCTTAGAACTACAAAGTTCTATCTGACATTTTGGATCATTTTGGGTTTAATAAGACCATGAGGTTGGAAACCAAATGTGAGGCAGCGTGGTGGAATCAGGCTCTCGTCAATTTTTGGGAGTTATTGGTGTCATCTTGAAGCTTGTTCACTTGTCTTTATTTGGATGAAAAAAATATCCATTTATCTTGAATACAAATCGAGATATTTGCGAAAGAAGGAGGTGGGGTTCACCTGTTTTCAAAAGTAAAATTAGTGAGAAAATGGCCGCCGAAGATTAGTTATTGCCTTAGCTTAAGAGTCCGTTGTAACTGAAAATTTATATTTTTGAGCCTTTAATCAAAGCTTTTTAGAAAAATCCACACAGAAATGAGCCATTTATTGGACAAAAGTTTGATAAAAATTCACAAACCTGCGGAAAAATGCAAGTTTCTTCACTTTGATTATTTTGACGAGAGCCTGATTCTACCACGCTGCCTCACAAATGTTCTATCCGCTTTTTCAAAATCGTAAGATTATTCAAAGTCGTTATCAAGATATTCAAATAAATGCATTCGGTATAGAAAGCTGGACACGTTATGAAACTGAGAATCTGCGTAACGTCAAATTTCTCAAGACTATGTAGGCCTACCGAGCAGATAGAACTTTGTAACTCAAGGCTAGGGTAGCAAGTTGGAGAAGAGTGATTGAAATTCTTGTAAATCCCCCTCCTTCCCCTTCTCCCTCCCCCCCCCCCCCCCCGTGCCAGCGAGAGGTGACAAAGTAATTAATTAATTTAGAACGGTTGCTGCTTTTACCCCAGTGGTCAAGGCAAGACACACGTTGTTCGGGATACTACATTATCCTAGAAGAAAGACTTTATTTGTGCTTCTCAAGTGTAACAACAACAAAAAAACCCCTACAGCGATAGATG